TTTTTTCGGGTGCCGCAGCGGCGACCCTTCGGCGCTGATGTCCCTCATCCCTGGAGCGACGACGGCCACTGCCTAACCTAGAAAGTAAGTGTGCGGGCTCGCGGGAGGGCGCGGAGACTCCTGCCCACGAGGACCCCGGCCCTCGCGCCCCGGCCGGGACCTGCCTGCGAGGGGTGCGGGCGCCTCCCTCCCGTTACTCCGTCCCCGCCGCCTCGCGGCCGCCTCGGCTTTCCTGCCCCGCCTCGTGTTCCTGCCCGCACTCGCCTGCCTGCTCCCCTCCCCCCGGCAGGCGCACAAGTTTCACCCTCCATTTGCTTTTCCCGGTGATTACTCTCCTCCGGTCTCCCCTACTCGCCGCGCACGAGTCCTACCCATGTTGGCTTTTTCGGATCCAGAGCCCCCAGCCCCGAACTTGAGCACCACGCCGAGCCCTCCTGGATGTCTGCCCGGAGGCTTCCCCGCTCCTGCCCGCCTGGCACGCCGCCCCGCGCCCCCAACACCCCGAGGCGCCCGCCTTCCCCAGCTTTCGGGGCCGTCTGTCCGTCCCTCCCGCCCAGGTCCTGCATCCTGGCCCCCTCCCCTTCCTCCCACGTCCCTGCTGCCTGCGCTGTCTGGCGTTTGCCCCCGGAGTCGCGCGCTCCTGCCCGTCCTGCCCACCCCGCTCTGTCCAGCGTGCCCCTCTCCCCTCGCCGCGTCTGTTCACGTTCCACCCCTCCCGGTTCCCAGCCCCGAGCTTCCTCGGCTGTCCTCCTGCGTCGCCGCTTCCTGCTCTCCCAGCCAGGAGTAGAACCGGAGCTGCGGCACCCTGCTGGTGGCTCGGATGTCCCTTCCGGGCGCTGGGGCTGCCCGGCCGGCCCTAGTCCCTTTTTCCTCTAAGGGGAAGCAAAGGGGTGAGCGGCGGGGCCGGGGTTTGGCTGCGTGTTGGCTGAGTGCGACAAACTGCGTGCGCGGGCACTAGATGCGCCGCGGCAGCAGTGGCCGCTCAGGGCGCAGCAATAGGCAGGTGTCTGTGTCCGGGTGGGGGTGGGGGGAGACGCGAGCCACGGGCTCGTCGGCCGGCGACGGGTTGTGCAGGAATGCGAGGAATGCACCAGGGGCATAGTCCACAGGGCCCGCCGCGGCTGCGCTAGCGCCTTCCTGGCCCAGGACCCGCCGCGCAGCCAGAGGTCACCGGAGCATCTTCGGAGCTGGTGAGGCTCGCTGGACTTCTCTCCTCGCCTGCCTCTCTCCATGCGGCATAGAGGGCGGCAGAGGGGAAGCGCAGCAGTTCTGTTGGGCTTCAGCTAGCCTTTCGTCTGGGTTTTTGCTGCATTGGTCTCCGGGACGGTGAATTTGGGGATGATGACAGCGTAGCCAAGGTTATTGATCATTGCACAAGGTTCTTGGCAAGTTTGGTTTGCAAGGTTTGAATTGTGCCTGTTCTCCTCCCCCCCTCCCCCCCCTGGGTTTTCTGAAAACCTGCAGGAAAGGGTTCCGAAGGTTCTTAGAGTAATGAGGTTGCAGCTCTGTGAAAAAATGTCTGTTAATGCTCATGGATGGGGATGTATTGCGAAAGAGACCTTGAATGCATCACTTTGCTGTCATAAGAATTGTAATTTTTTCCTCGTCATCCTGGACTGTGTTTAGACCTCTTATAATACATACTGAATAGAAACAGAGAAGCAGTGTTTGGCCAGCGATGGGACAGATAGAACTGTCTGGTACAGTTAAATTCGGGGCGTGTCAGTTACCATTGAAAGTAACGGGGACAACACAATCATGTATATTTAAAGATGTAATTTATTAGTTGAAGTCGCAGTTCTTTTTGTTACTGAGTTTGAAAAATAATAAATACATCCCTACAACTTTTAAAGAATGGTAATTATGTGTAAAATCAGTAATGATTGGTAAACATTTTTTGTCAAATTTTATTTTTAAAGCAGAAAAAAGCAAATGTATAACAGAAGATGCTTTTTTAGAATTGGGCTTAGATTCTTTTAAAAGGGAAAGTAGAGGACTGTTTCTCTTTCTGAATGCAGTATATTGCTATAGAAGTATCTTCATTTCTGGTTCTTGTGAAACCATTATGGAAAATGGCAACATGAAAATGGGAACAACTGGTGTTCAAAATAAGTATTTCTTGGGTGCCGAAAAGCATACTATATGTGTGACACAGTTTGCTTTGGAGGTTGAGTTTACTATAAGCCTCTCCACACTTGGTTATTTTGTATCAGATTCAGGAATATAAGTTGATTGCTCAGCTGCCTTTCAACACCTACTTTGCTTAGATCAAGGGCATTGAGAAGTATAAGAAGAGCACCTTTTTAGTTAAGGACCCAATGGAAAGGAGAAATAGAAAAAAAAACAAAAACCTTTGCACTGGTTGTTTCTTTTGGCTGCTACATTGTTTTCAGGTACGTCCATAATAAGTGGACCTGTGGACCATCTAATTTAGAGGTTTAACTCTAAATCAGTGATTTTTTTTCAACCTGTGTGCTGCAAGAATCTTTAAAACATGCAATACCTGACTGTTTAGTCAGGGGCACTGAACTCTTTTCCCTTAGATTGTCAAATAAGAAAATGACAACGGCCAACACACATAGCCTTCCGACGTGAATGAATCAAAATTGTACCTATTTTTTTGTGTGTCAGATCTGAAAAAATACATATATTTTTTGGTGTGCTGCAGAATTTTAGTAATTAGTTTATGTGTGCCATGAGATGAAAAAGGTTGAAAATCGCTGCTCTGAATTATGGTTAGCAACACTGCGCAGGATATTGGGAGGTGTTTGTAGATGTCAACAGGAACCTTATTGTGTAATTAGAGTTTAACACATGCTTATTTGATGTGGTGTGAAGATTAGAAAATAAAAGCATATTTAGTTTCTCTGCTACAATGGAAATTGAAATAATCCCTTTGAGTATATAGTTAATGTATATACACGATTAGCTGTGCAAGTAGTTTTACCCATTCAAGTAAAGGTAGACTTTCAGTTACACATATATTCTATTTGTTATAGATATTTGAAGAGAGGAAGTTTTAAAACAGGTGATTGTTCACAGTCATAAACAACATAAATTATGTTTGAGCAAGTGCATTACTTCCCCATCCCCCACTATTATGTAAGGAAAAGGTGTGGCATTTCATGTTTTATGTGTTATACTGAAGATTGTAAATGGGGGAACTAAGTGCCCAGTTGTCTTAATTCTTATCTGTACTGTTTCTGGAGGGAGATAGGGGAGCAGGGCTGTGATGAAAAGCATGAGAGAAGGTCAGTAGAAAGTGGGAGCAGCTAGCATTCATCCAGAAAAAAATATGTTATTGCTGCATTTACAAGCTGAATAAACCAAACTTAATTCTGTGACTTGTTCTAACATCATAATTTGAATTTAAAGAATCTACTACCAAACTCAGTTTAATAAAAACTTGAGCATTGTAAGATCTGAATATTTGAATGAAGTCTATATTAAGTCAGAAATGCATTTTTCCCTTTTCTGAGCTATATAAATAGGAAAAGTAAATTTAATTAAAAACTTTAAATCCACATAATTTTTAAAAATCCAGTTATTGCCAATTTTAAAACTGAATGATTTCCTTGCTGTTGACCAGGGATTGATTTAAATAGAGAATTTTCATACCCTGGATGGTGCCAATTATTTGGTAAGTCCAGCCCTTCACTTTATTACTTTGAAATACTAAGATATTTTGAGGATGCTCTGGAATTTAA